GGTGGGCGTGAGAGACGCAGGGCCCCAAGTGGCCTCAGTCTCCTGTCACTGCCCCGTCACGATGCTGGGGAATCTCCGGGCCTGGGACCCAGTCCCCACCCCCCTCCCTCACACACAGGGGCCGCTGGACAAAGACCTGACGGAGTGGGAGGGGCCTCGGGCCGGCCCTCGGGCTCCGGACACTGGATCCTTCTGGGACCCGAACCCACAAATTCTGGGTCCCCACCCCCCAATCCCGCAGGCTCCCCCCAGAGCCTGCCGCTCGCTACTGCTGCAGCCTCCGCACCAAAGGGGGCGGCGAAGAGGGTGCCTGTCGGCGGCGGAGAGGAGAGCCCCTTCCCTGCCCGCCCCCTCCCCCCGGGAAGTGACCCTCAGCTCCCACGCACCCGGCCGGGTCTCTTGCTGGCCTTGCCCTTCGACCCCCGCCTCGTTGAACCCCGCGACCCGCAGCCCCCGCCCTCTCCGGCCCTCGCACTGCCCCGCGCCCGCGGACAAAGCTCCGGACACCCCGACCGAACGGTCACCACCCCCTGACCTCGGCCCGCCCGCGCGCTCCCGTGCCTGCCCCCGCCGGGCCCGCGGCCTCGTACCTCGGCATCCCGGCCGGGTCCTAGGTGAGTGTGCGCGGCCTGAGGGGGCGTCCGGCCCCGAGGCCGGGGCGCGGGCCGGGGGCGACAGGCCGGGGCTGGGGGGCAGCGGCGCTCACCATCCTGGAGCCGCTACTGCTGCGGCTGCTGCGGCCGCCGCGGGCGGGAGCAGGACTGGGCAGTGGGGGTGGCCGGACAAGGGGCCGCCCCGGCTCCCCCCGCAGGCAGGACCCCCACCCCCACCCCCGCCTCCCCTCGCCCGCCCCCAACGCCCTCCCTCGCAGGCCTTTGCTCCCCTCCCCTTTCCCCGCTCCTCCCCTCCCCGAGTGCCCCTCCCTTCCCCCAGCTCCCGCCCCTTCCCCGGTCCTCCCCACCCCCGGCCGCTTCCCCGCCCTCCCCTACTCGCCCCCGCCCCGCCCCCATCTCCCCTAGGCTCGCCGGGCCCCTCCCCTCCACCAGCCCGGCCTGGCCCCGCCCCTCTCCTCCCTAGCTCTAAAATAAATTAGCCACCGAGGGGAAAAAAGAGCAAATGACCCTTGGTGTGGAGTGTCCTTGCGCCACTCTCAGGCCCGCCCCCGCCTCTCCTGGGCCGCTGGAGCGGGAAGTTGGGGTGGGGGTGGAGGCCGGGCCGGGTGGGGAGCGGTCCCCGAAGCGGGAGGCCGGGACTGAGCAGTAGGGCGGCCGAGCGTGTCCGCCGGGTGTGAGCGGCTTCCTGGGTCGAAGGGCAAAGGGGAAAACAGCAGGCCCGGCCCGCCCCGTCCGCTAGCTGCCTTCGACCCCCACTCCCTGGACTGCCTCGGCCTCTCGGCCAAAGCCTGGTGGACTCACTCTTTCATTCCCACCCTCCCACCTGCCCCAGGTGAACTGTTGGCTTTGCCAGCCCGGATGCACAGATGGGATACACGCAGCTCAAGTCCACTGCTCTTCGCAGACTCCAAGTGGGTTGGGCTCGGGGCGAAGACCGAGAGCCCAGGAGGTGGGCAATGGAGGGTGTGATGTGATGTCTAAACTGTGGGCTTCACTGGAGGGCTTTCCCCAAGAAGACGGCAGCCACACTGAGCCAAGCAGGATGAATCCCGCACCTGTGATCTGCTTAGAGTTGTCCAAAGGCGTTCATTGATGAGTGCATTCATTCAACACATTGCAAGCATCCACTCTGTGCCGGGAACACCCTAGCGTCCCAAAGGCACATCTTTCTCCCGGGGCAGCACTTCCGAGGGTAGAATTCTGTCAGACACAGTGAGGCAAGGCTTCAGAAGCGATCCAGACAGGAAAGGAAACCTGCAGAGCGAGCAGCCCGCAGAACCCACTTTGCCCAGGAGGTTGTAGGAGAGAGATCCGAGCTTAGGTTGGAAATTCCAGATACATTTCCTCCTTAGGAGATGCTGAGCACCACGGGTCCCAAGATCGCCTGTGCTCCCACGCAAGGGCAGAGCTTGCTGGTCGCGTCTTCTGAGATGTTTTTTTGTTGCTTTCCGGCGCTGCTCAACCTCTCTGAGCACTAGCTGGACAAGGTTACCCTTGTGCTCTCACTCCAGCTGCCCAGCAGTGTTGTCTCAGTGTTTTGTAGAATTCTAAACTCTCCCCTTCCATTCTGCTAATGGTGGGTCTCTGGGGTCTCACCAGCCTCCTCTGGTAGCTCTGGGTTTTGATCTCCCAGAGTACCCTTAAGGGAAACCAGGAGGCTCCTATATTTTTCCCAATCCACAGAAGGAAGCAAGACTAGAACCCAGGCAGTTTCTGGAATTCACCAAAGTCAGGATCTTTTCTGACCCCAGAACTCACTCTTCCTCTCTACTCTACATCCCTAGGACCACACCTTGGCACAGGGTCAGAATGGTGGGGCATTTGAAACCTCTGGCTTCAAAATCAGAAAGGCAGAAGAAATGGAGCTATAGCTGCTGTAGGAAAACTGAACCCCAAGTTGAAGGGACAATCCCGAGACAACAGAGGGAGAAGGAATTTGTTGAGAATTTCTTTACTGATGGGGTACCTGAGGACCAGAGAGAAGAGACGCACTTGGGGTCACACAGCAAAGTTGGATCTAGAATCGACTGTACTCTTTCCACCCTATCTGTCAGGGCCCCCAAGGGTCGGGGCAGGAATAAGGGGAATGTCCACATGAGCTGAGTGACCCCAGCCAGCAGCACTGGTGCCTAGAGGCCAAGCCTGGCACTGCTAGGGCAGTGTGGCTAGGTGTCAGTGGAGGCCGTGCTCCTCCAGGCTCCAGCGTGGGGTGGATGACAGGAGTGAGGGTGGAGGAACGAGTTGATAAGGTGCTCCCCTGGAGCAGGGATGGGGTTCTCCTCTACACACACCCCTCCCCCATTCCTCCAGAGCTGGTATGAAAGATGAGGTTAGACCTCAGGAAAGCCTTCCTGGTAAGATAGCACACCGAGAGGCCTTTACCTGACTTCACGAGGGAAAGGGCTGCAACTTGGAGGCACTAAATTGTTTCTGATGGGCAAACAGGCATAGGTTGACTTACGTTAGTAGATGGGGGTGAGGTTGGTCTGGTCACTCCTCTGCCCACCAGGCTCAGGCAGTGAAGTGTGGCTCCTCCTCCCCAAGCTCATTAAAGTCCTGTTAATACATCATCCAGCCTCCTGGGCTGACAAATACTCAATCCTGGCAAATGGCCCTTCATCATCATGTCTGCCCTCCTGGGCGGGGCCTTGGGGGAGGGTCTGTTCTCTGAGGACTCCAGACTGTCCCCAGTTGAGGGATCTGTGCCCTAAGAGCCCCCCGCTGAGGACAGAGTTCTGGCTGGTCTTGTGATCATCCCAGGGTAGGTCAAGTGCCTGGCGATGGATTGGATAATGATAGTGGTAGTGTTGACGGTAATGCTCTGCTTGGCCTCTGCAGAGAGCCCTCCGTTCTTTCCCAGCCCTTTTGCTCATGTGACATCCAAGGAGGAGGCAGTTACTATGCTTGGGTGTGCTGCCGAGCGCCTGTGCACGTGTGTGTGTGGGTGTGGGACATGGGTATGTGTGCAGAGGTGTGTTTGTGTGATCTTCCTGGCCCAGAGACTTGCAGCAAGGCCTTTCTGAAAACTTCAAGGAAAACAACCCCTGCTGGTCCAGGGAGAATCAGCATGAAGGGTTTTGCAGGGAGAAAGAAGGGAAGATGTAGAAGCCAGAGAGGGAGGGAGGAGCAGGTGGGGTGAAGAGGAAGGAAGGAAAAGGGCCTGGGGAAGGATGGGGGTAGGGGGAGGCAGGGAGAAAGAAGTGGAAGAGAGGAAGAGGAAAGGGCAGGGCGGAGAGACCTCTCTTTGTAGTCCTCTGGATCAGCCACTCAGGAGTCATTAAGAAGCAAGAAAGGAAGGAAACGTGTCCAGGCTGGGGGACTAGGGTGTGTGCCCAGAGCATACCACACCCGCTGGCTACCACACCCCCCACTCACCCTGGGCTCAGGCTACTCCCCTACAAGTGGAGCCTTAGCCCTTCTCTTTCTGGCTGTTTGGACTTCAAGGCCCAGTTCCCAGTGCCTCCCCAACCCAGCTCATGCCCTCACTTACTCTTTGTGTGCTTATACCAACTTTGCCTTCCTAGTGAGCTACAGTCTGTGTCTGGGTCCAGTCCCCACCTCACAGCTAGCCAAGGGCTCTTAAGAGCTTCCATGAGAATAAGAAAAAGCACCCCTTCCTCTGGGCAGACACAGTTCTGTGCCAGACCACTTAAGACTTGGGGGACCAAATACCAGACCCCAACACTTGGGGACCCTGGGACCCACTTCCAAAATCCTCATACATCCTCTGGCTCTGCCAATTTGGTCTGTGAGCAGTAGCGTACCCATCCCACACCCATCCTGGCCTTTGGGCCAGCACCCCAAACTGAAATGTCATCCCACAACGTACCCCTATGACATACCCCCACAGAACCTCTCGCTAAGCACCCACACCGTTTTAAAACCACAGAGTCCTCCTCCCTGGAGTATCATTTCCCCTAGTCTGCTTGGGCAACTCCTGTTCATCCTGCAGAACCCCAACTTAGACACGTCCTCTTTTGTAAATTTCCCTAGCTATCCCCTACTCCAGGGCTCTCCTAATCCTTTTTTCTAGGTTCCAGGGATTGAGCCCAATAAATATCCTGCTTCCTGGAAGAACCCTTCCCTTCCTATACCCTAGCCAAAGGCAGAAGACTCCACCCAAGCCTGCCTGGCTCACTCTCTCACATGCCAGCTCCTCTGGAACTCCACTGGCTTCTCCCTTCCTTAAAGCTTACAGATCCAGGGCAGAATGGGGAACTGGAAATCCAAGTGGCTCAGAGATCTCCCCCACCCCCACGCTGCCCTCACTGGGGCTGGGCCTGACAGGAGATTCCCAGCACATCTGGTTGTACTTAAATCATCCAGCGCCCAACTGCTCAGGCATGTTCCCTGCTTTTCTCCCCTCTGCCCTGGCCTCTCCCCTTCCTAAACCAGCCTCCCAGGTCTCTCCTCCAGGATGCCTTCCCTGATTGGCCCAGGCTTTATAACCACAGCCTTCTCTCCAACGATGGAACGTCCACCACTCGGGTCTGGGGTCTGGAAGGGTGTGTACTCAAACTGAGGAGCCCCATCCTTTCCAAGCACTGGTCCTGGACAGAAACCCTCCCCCCCAGGCAGGGAGGAGAGCTCACCTAGGGCTTTTCCTCTGTGCCCTTGGCCTCTAGGGTGGCTGCCTCCAGTTACTGTTGCGTAGTGGGTAATGGGAGCCTTTTTAAAGTTTTGGTTCAGATCCAGACGAAGAGCTGTTCCCACACATTCCCTGTCAGCCATTTTCCAAACGGCTTTGCAAGTATTAAAGACCAAAAAGGAAATAAATACAGAACAGCAAGTATAAAGAGACACAGGCTACAAAGAACTGGTTTGGAAACTATTAAGACTTGCTTCACCAGGGCTCCAGGTTTGAATGTTTGTTTGTTCATTCATTTGTTTATTCAATAGCATGTACTGATGCCCACCATGTATTAAGTCCTGGGAACAGAGACTTGAATAACACTCTTAAGTGCACCAGAGAAACTCATAGTCAGAGGAGGAGAGAGACAGGTGGAGGAACAAATGCAGATGCTGAAGTGGACATGTGTGGGGAGGCAGTGGGATGTGGTGACTACAGATCTGAGACCCTGGATTCAATCCTCGCTCCCCTACTTGCCTGTTGCTGCCAGGGGCAGAGGAGGAGTTCTTAGCTGCTGGAACCTGGCTCCTCACCTGTAAAAGGTGAATGATGTGTTCTGAGAGGGTTGTGGCAGCATTCAAATAAAATCGTGTGTATGGAAGCACTGTGTGAAGTGCTAAGTTGTTGCTGTTATTACTGGGCTCAGACACATTGCCTGTCTGATGCTCACTGTTCATTTTTTCTGATGCTTGAACAGCTGTCCTTGCCTACCGTTGAGAACTGGAGAAACTTCTCCTGTGGGGGGCCACCCAGCCTAAGCAGCAGGCGGTTATTTCTCTCTCACACACACACAATAGTTGCACAAAACATCTTTTTACAGTATCTTTTAGAATTAGAAAATACAGACAAGCACAAAACAAAAATTTGTTTTCAAAATCAAACATTCTTAATCCTACCACTCAGAGAAAACCACTAGTAAGATTTTGGAATAAGACAGATTGTTTTTCTAGATATGTATATATAGAGAGAGATTGCCACACTATTTTATAATCTGCTTTCTCAATAAACAAGTATTTTGAGTATCTTTTCCTGTCAGTACATATATTTATAACACATAATTTTTTTTTATTGAAGTATGGTTGATTTACAATATTGTGGTAGTTTCAGGTGTACAACAAAGTGATTCTGTAGTATATATATATGTATATATCTATATTCTTGTTTCTGATTCTTTTCCATTACAGTTTATTACAAGATATAGAATATAGTTCCCTGTGCTATATGATTAATCCTTGTTGTTTATATCATAATTTTAATGACAGTTTAATATTCCATCATCTGGACATGCAAGAATTAATTTAACAATATCCTTTGTTGTCAATTTTTTCCCCCCCTAGAAATAAAAGCGTGATGAACTGACTTGTAACACCCACCTTTGTGCATGTTAGGATTTTTTGTGTCGGATTAGGATCAAATTCTAGTAATAAGATGCTGGGAATGCAAATTTTTGGCTTTGAGGAGCCACTAGCCCAGGTCTCTGGGTGATGCCCTCACATCTCCTCCAGGCAGCCCTCCCAGACGCGTTTCAGGGCCCAGTGCCTCTCCCAAGGCCCAGGCATTTTCCAATAGCCTCCTCCTTTAGCGACCCTGCCTGGAAGCCCTGAAAAATACTGGGAAGGCCAGCCAGGAGGGGCCCTGTGTGGAGAGCACAAAGCAGGCTTGTCTGGGGCACGCAGAGAGGCCCCGCCCCCTCGGGGTTGCCGGCCGAACATTCCTCCCGGACAATGGCTCCCTCAGGGAATCCCGAGAATGAAGGAGGCCGGGTGGCTTTCGGAGGCCACCCCCACCCCCGCTCCCACCAAGTAAAACCCGTTCCCAAAATGGAAAGATGGGGCGCTTTGCACTGGGGGCGAGGTGGGGAGGGGCAGTGCTTCCGGGTGCCTACAGCCCCCTCCTCCGCCCCCTTCTTTTACCAGCTCCAATCCAGAGTACCCCAGCCCGGGTACCGCCCAGCCACGCTTCAGTGTGGATCTTGGACAAGGCTTGCACCCTCTGTGAAACCGCTGCTTCCTCAACTGTAAAATCAGGGCTTTGGATCTGCGATTGCTAAATTTCCCGCAGATCTAAAAAGTGCCCTAAGGCAGTGCCTGAGACAGGCGCAGGCTCTGGAGCCCGACTGCCTGAATTCAAATCTTGGTTTGTCCTTCACACTATAAATTTAACACTCTCCCCTCAGCTTCCCAATCTGTAAAGTGGGTTGATGATAGATGCCCAGGCCTCATGCGGCTTTCCCAAGGAAGGATGAGATGTTCGTGAAACAAACGATTGAGTCGTCAAGAATGTAGGAATCGCGATTCACACCTAACTCTAAAGCTATCTGGATCCCTAGCCTCAGTCCTCTCTCTTGGCTAGTTGAGATTCTGGCCTCTGGATATTTTCCCAACAACTGGCCGCTGCTCTGGGAGATGAGGGGCAACCTGTGTCCCAGGGAAGCCTCTGTCTGGCATGCTTCCACTTGCCCTTGTATGAGCCCTAAAGCTATAAAACTAAAAGCATGGCTTTGGGTGGGGGAGGGGGGTACGGGTGGGTTAAAAATTTTTAAATAGAGGAAAATTCCTGTGTCAGGTCACATGTCTTCACTTTTGTTTGGGAAATGCAAGTATTTCCAACGCAGCCAGCAATTGCTAGGACCTTAATAACGCACTGGAGGCTTAGGACTAATGCACTTGAAACATGGGTTTCCCGTAAATACTTTTGAGCTGTTGACCACAGACCCCTGCCCAACCTCCTCCTAGCCTCCCTCACACACTGTTCTCTCCTTCTCGTCACTCACTTCCTCCTCAACCCTCTCCTATACAGCTGAGTTTGAATCCTCAACTGCAAGTACCAGAAAACTGGCCTCACAATGGTTTGTATAGTAAGCAACACACATGGTCATATTTCATCCGATTTAGATGCCACTGATATTAAGAAGCACTGTTACTTTATGTACCATTAGAAAGAAAAAGCACTGCCAATTAAACTGACATAATGATTTCTTAGGGCTTCCCAGGTTGCTCCCTAGTAGCTCAGCTGGTAAAGAATCTGCCCGCAATGTGGGAGACCCAGGTTCAATCCTTGAGAAAGGAAGATCTCCTGAGGAGGGGAATGGCTACCCACTTCAGTATTCTTGCCTGGAGAATTCCATGGATGGACAGAGGAGCCTGGTGAGCTATAGTCCAGCTATAGTCCATGGGGTCGCAAAGAGTCGGACATGACTGAGCAACTAACACACACATATTCACACACAATGGTTTCTTATCACTTAGAATTTTTATTTTACATTTCTTTAAAATGTCCTTTTGAACTTACATAGAAATAAAGTTTTTTTTTTTTTTCTTTTGACTTTTTTTTTCTTTGCTGCTGTGTATGGGATTTCTCTAGATGTGATGCTTGGGCTTGCCTCGTGACGTGCAGGATCTTAGTTTCCTGACCAAGGATCAAACCTGCATCCCCTACATTGGAAGGCACATTCTTAACCACTGGACCACCAGGGAAATCCCTACTTTTAAACATAAATTACTTTTGCACCTATTGAACAAGGAAAACATGGGTGAAATAAATTACTTATGAATTTCTTTCAGTTTATTACATCCAGAGTCCAATTCTTGGAATCACTTTTCAACTCTGAGCTGCCAGTGTTTTTCCACATGGACTCCTCATCAGGGTAGATTTAAGGACTGGTGAGACAATATTTCTTAAAAGACTGCTCCACTGAATTAATTGTTCATTGCTCTGTAAAAAAAAAAAAAAAAAAAATTACCCCAAATCTCAGCAGTTAAAAGAGACAAACATTTATTATGTTATCATTTTTATTGATCAGGAATCTGGGAGTGGTTTAGCTGGATGTTTCTGAGTTAATCAACTCTGGAGTTACTGTTTCTCATTCTTATGTAAAATATTGTATTTGATCAATTCAGAAATGCACATTTGGTCACATTGTAACATTTCTGAAATCAGTATACATCCTACTATCAGCAGTGCCTTAACCTACTGTCAGCCAGATAGCACATGTACACATTTTGGTGACTTTGGTGTCTCTTATGAGCTAGCCCTCAAGCTGTGGGTAGCAGAATCTACTTCCCGCTTAGTCAGTCATCCAAGACAGAAGCCATAGCCTTTTTATATCCTAATACTGGAAGTGACATAGTGTCATGATTTCTGCCCTATGCTAACCGGTCACAAAGACCAAACCAGAACATTGTGGGAAGGGGCCACACAAGGGTGTGACTAGTCGGAGGTGATGACCATTGGGGATGGTTTTGCAGGTTGTCTACCACATCCACTGTTAACCTTGAGACTTTCTTTTAAGCCACCAATATTCATTCTGGAAGTCTTGATGCTTGCTGGCAGATGAACTTGACAGATATTTGATAAAAATTTATAAGAAAAAAAAAATTTCTAGATATCAGTCAGAACCCAGAGAGTCTTTATATGGTTTATGGACTGAAACATCATTGGGTTGCAATTGTCCAATCATGACACCAGGAAAGTCACCAAAATGTGTACATGTGCAGCAAGGACACATGTACAACACATGGACAACTGTAAAGCACAACTGCTATCTGGCTATCTCCTATTCCTCTCAGGTGCCTCCTTTAGAGAACAAAGAAACTTCTCCCAGAGACATCCAGAATATTTTCCCTCTTGTCTCTTTGACCAGAAATCGTTATTGCCTGTGTTCATCAGTTGTAGATGTTGACAAAATTCAGAGTGATTCAAACAATATTGAAGTTTATTCTTTTTCATATAAAAGGAGTCTGGCCGCACTCGCCCTCTACAATGGCCCATGCTCTGTCTGTGAGTGTACTTCCTCTGAATCTGAATCTGAATAAATCCACTTCTTACCTAAAATAAATAAATAAAAGTAGTCTGAAAATAGACAGTGCTGGTGTGCTGGCTCTATAGTTTCAGTGTCACTGGAGGCCCATATATCTCACATGATTTCATTCTCAAATTCACTTCATGTTCCAAAATAGCTGCTGGAGTTCCATGTTGTAGACCATGTTGGATCCATGTTGTAGACCAAAAGTAGCAAAAATGAAGGGCCAGAGGTTGTTCCTCAGCAGAATCATCTCTTGTAAGCAACCTTCTCAGATGTTCCACCAGCATTTCTATTTACATTGTATTGGTCAGAACTTGGTCACATGGCCATATGTAGCTACAAGAAAAACTAAAAACATTTTTTCAGCAGAGCACTGTGTCACCCTAAATAAAATGCAGCTCTTTATTATTAAGGAAGAAGACAGAAGAATGGATGTTAGGTGGCTACAATCAGTGTCTTCCCCAGTTCTCATCCTTAAACCAATCTCTGGTTGGGTTGGGGCGGGGGGTGGGCAGGATTACTAGGACTGACATAGACATATCAGGATTTACTCCATCAGGGTTTATTCCTTTGTTGGAAATGGGTTACATTTCTTGAGAGGTGGATCCCTGAATAAAACCTGAATTGTTAACACTGAAGAATCAGATGAAGCAGAGACTACTGATTATTGACCAACAATCATTGCCCCCATTTCTTGCTAACAGAGCCTTGGTTTTTTTTCAGGGACCGGGCTGCCAGGTTCTTTAGGGGAGGCCAAGCCCCTCCCCAGCCCCAGGGGTGAGTCTGGATTAGTCTGAGACACCTGTGGGAATTCTATTCTTGGCCAGTGTTTGGTTTAAGAACGGACATGTAAGGAACTCCCTGGTGATTTGA